TGACGGTACTGCGACTAGAGGAATAACAACCGTTGATGGACTCTCGGGCTTGGACAATTCAACCCGAGTTTCATTGACATCCACACTTCGCGGTTCCAAACTCCCACTAATTTGATCATTTTCAATGAACCGAGCATTGCCGGAATCAACTATTCTCGTACTATGGTTAGGACAGTAGAACCTATATCCTTTAGACTTTTCCGGATAGCCAATGAAAAAACCACTGACTGTCCTAGGATCAAGTTTCTTTTCATGTGGATTATATAACCTTACTTCTGCTTGACACCCCCAAACATGGAGATGCCTCAAACTAGGTTTCCTACCCGTCCACAGTTCATAAGGTGTCTTAGGAACTGCCTTACTAGGAACTCTGTTTAGCAAATATGCAGCAGTCTTTAATGCATGCATCCACATAGATGACGGTAATGTTGAATTACTCAACATACTCCTAACCATATCCATTAAAGTACGGTTTCTCCTCTCAGCAACACCGTTCTGTTGAGGAGTCCCAGGCATAGTGTATTGTGCACAAATGCCTCGACTCTCGAGAAACTTTGCAAATGGACCAGGACATTGTCCTCTTTCATTGAACCTACCATAATATTCACCCCCACGATCAGATCTCACAACTTTCACTTTTCTATCTAACTGCCTTTCCACCTCATCAATGTATATCTTTAGATATTCCAATGATTGAGTCTTTTCATGCAGTAGATAGATATAACCATAACGTGAGAAGTCATCTGTAAAGGTGATAAAATACTTTTCACCGCCCCATGAAGGAACGTCGAATGGACCACAAATATCAGTGTGAATAAGTTCTAAGAGTTGAGTGCTTCTAGTGGCTGATTTCTTTAATATATGCTTAGTTTGCTTTCCTTTAATGCATTCTACACATACATTTAGATCACTAAAATCCAAGTGAGGGATGATTTCATTTTTCACCATCCTTAATAACCTTTCTTTGGATATATGACCTAATCTTTGATGCCATAATAGAGCAGAATTTTCATTATATGCACTACGTTTGATCCCAAGAACACTTTGAACATTAAACAAGGATTCAGAAAATTCTTTATGCAATTCAAAACGGTAAAGCGAATCAATCAAATTTCCATTGCCACAAAATAATTTGTTCTTGTACAATGAAAAAGAAGCATTACCGAAATTAAAGAAATAACCTAAAAGATCCAATCTACTTAATGAAACAAGATTGCGAGCACATTCAGGTACATAAAGACATCTTTCAAGATCTATATTACAACCAGTGCTCAAGATCAATCTATACGTCCCTATGCCTTCTATTCGTGCCTTCATCCTGTTTCCCATGAATAAGTATTGCTCACTTTCCTTTATGATTTGGATCGAACTGAATCCCTGCAAAATATGGGATACATGAGTAGTTGCACCAGAATCAAGCCACCAAGTATTATTGGGAACTTCTAATAAATTTGATTCAAAGCATACAGAAACATAATGCATACCTTTCTTTTCGAACCAAGTTTTCCTTTTCGGGCAATCTTTCTTGAGATGGCCTAACTTTTTACAGAAAAAGCACCTCAACTCTTTAATGATTGGTCCTCCAGAAACTTTGAGTGGACCAACCTCCTTTCCTTTGCCTTTGTTTCCCATCTTCATCTTGCTCTTGCTGGCTCCCACATGAGATACAAAGTGAATCGACTCCTCTTTCACCTTCTTTATTCTCGCCTCTTCCTGCACAAGCATGGCCCTAATTTCTTTATAGTCCCACTTTTCTTTAATGGTGTTGTAGTTCACCTGGAACTGGCCAAACTCGGCAGGTAGGGAGTTCATGATGAATTGAACCAGAAATGAGTCGGTCACCTCCATTCCCATGTTTGATAGTTTAGCTGATATGTTGGACATGTGGGTTACGTGATCATGGATGGAGCGGGACCAGTCAAACTTTATAGTGGTGAGTTCGCCCATAAGCTTCCCCACAATTGACTTGTCCGCAATTTCAGATTGAGATAGTTCCTTAATCATTCCTAGGAAGTCTTTCGCATTGTCAGCCTTTGGCATTGAAGCTTTAATGTTATCCGTCATGGTTAGTTTCATAAAATTCAAGCACAACCTATTTGATCGCTCCCAAGCCATACGAAGAGATACCTCTTCTTCGGAGCTTTCATCAGTAATGGTTGCGGGTACTTCATCACTAACTAGAGCCATATCCAAATTCATAGCACCTAACTGAAAATGGATGTGCTCAGACCATTCAGTGAAGTTCATTCCATTGAATTTTTCAACCATAATGCCTGACGGAAAACCGGAATTAAGTGCTGCAAAATTTAATACATGCTATTAGATTATGCTTTGATAAAATTTTATGGATTCGGAAATATTTAAGATTATATATTTAAATAACCTTTGGGCAATACTTAAATATATAACGTATTTAATTGATGTCTAAGAGAAAATAATCTTTAATAGAAATTACAAGAATTGTGATCAACTAGTGGTTATCTTTGGACAAACACACTAATTAACCTAACTTTAATATAATTTCTCTTTTATTGTCATATATTACAAACCATGGCCCACCTTTGGGTGTCCTCCTAGTTTATAATCTATAACATCAATCATTCAAATATTACAATATTAGGGTACATTAATAAGACATCGTCTTATATTTGAATAATTGATATTTTTATCTAATTTTATTATCTATTCCATAAATTAAACTAGGCCACTTTGGTGACTAACTAGTTTCTTACATAGATAATATAATTAGATAATATTTTATTTTGATTATATTTTATGAGATTATAAAAACTATAACAAATCTCTACAGTCCATATCAACTAAGAATAAGATGAACTAAAATTATAAGACCAAAATATTCATCAGCCTTAATAATACACGATCAGTAAATAATCCATGCCTCGTATATTGAAAACAAAGAATCCATTAATCTGATTGAAGCTTACGGCAATTTAGAACTCAATTAATCCATCTTTGCCAACATATCAAGAATCAAACAATTATTTGATAAACAACAAATCAGATTACGACAAATAATTTATTTGTGCTGCTTACGTCAATTCACAACATATCAAGAATCATACAATTGTTTGCTCCAATCATTATTCATTACAGCAAGCACGAGAATCAATTTGATAAACAGCACACATGAATTTCGCATAAACTCTGATTGCAACAATCGCATCAAGCGGCAACGATTTTAAGTGCAGAAACATATGCGAAAAATAAATTCGGCACAGGATGCAATAAAAGTGATAGGCAATTTAATCATATGCATAAACACATGCTCTGATACCACATGTAAGAAATTTAACGGGCATACTCATAACTATCAGGCGGAATTGAATAAACCCTAAACATGTAATTCTATCAATTCATAGAACATGGATCTTTTGCATAAATTAAATTGCACATAGAAACTTACAAGATTCCATTAGTCCTTCCCTGTTCTTGTATGTCTGGCCGATCGTGGATTATGTTTCTCTCTCCCGCTTCTCTCGTCTTTTCACAAAGCCCTTGATGTTGAGAACTTTATTTGCGTATGAGATGGGAGAGAGGGGCATGTAGTATATATAGGAAGATGAGACTTACAATCCTAATCCCACTAACATTCCCCATGTTCTAACCTAACTTACTGTCCAAGTCAAACATCACAAATTGAACTCTTTAATATTAGAACATTAAATAATCTATTAAATACATATTCACCGTAATTAAGTTTGACTATTAATTCAATTAGGTCCAATTAATTTATATGGTCCACAATAATAGAATAATATATAAAATATTATTACACCTAATTCTAATCCTAATTTCAAAAAACCCTAAACCCAACAACAACCAACCCATACACAATTGACAATTTACAAAAAAAAAATTCAATCTCCAATTCAACATACACACATAATCGATAAAAAATTAACAATTCCCAATCTTCAAATACCACCACATTCAAATATACTATAACAATTACCAATCTCCCAACAACTCTAAACAATGTCAAAAGTTGAGATAAGCCAATATATCTCGTGCGAATTAATTAACCGAAAATGAGGTTTGTGTTGTTGTTGTTGTCGGTTCGCGTCGGGGTGGCGATTGGATCGAGTTTTTTTGTTTTCGCCTCTACTCTCGTTCTCTGGTATATCTCTCTCTGATCTCGCAAATGAATGGAGAAGAAGAAGATAATTTTTATTTTGTATTTAGTTGTAAAACGTATTACCAGAATACGTTTTACAACTATTTAGTTATAAAAACTCATTCGTTAATGAACGTTTTGAGTAAATAAAAAACGTAGTCCGATTATACGTTTTTAAAGATTTTTTTTTTAAATTAAAATAGACAACGTATTTCCAAAATACGTTTCTTAAAACCCTAAAATCAATTTTAGGATTTTGGAAAACGTATTTTCGAAATCCGGTTTATAAGTATCATTTTTTATTCAATTCCCTTTTTTTTCTAAACGGAAATATTTTTTTTTATTTTCCAAATATAATTATAAAAACGTATTCACGAGAATACGTTTTTCTAATAAAATTTTATTACGAAAACGTATTTCAATAATATGTCATTTTTATTTTTTTCCACCTTTTTTTTTATTTTTGTCTACTTGGTTTTTTTGTTTTTTAAATAAATAAACTACCCAAGGAAAATCACCACTTCTTTTACACCCTTATTTTTTTTTTATTTTGAAAACTGCTTTTGAGTAATTTTCAAGAAAGGTATGATTACATCAAGTGGCGGATGTATGTGGATTGTGGGGCATGTGTACATATATATCAGTGCTACTACCGTGTGCCTAACAAGGTGTGCCAGGATAATTTAAAATGAACATGTTATGTTACAAAATGAACATGTGCAAACATGATTTACACATGTTTATTTTGTAACATAACATGTTCATTTGTGGCACATCTTGCTAGGTGTGCCCTGTATTTGCGCATATATATGATAGTGAATTGAGATTGCAGTGTCTATGTTTTTTTTAACAAATTATAATAATGATGGCGCACTTTGATCTGCCAAAGAAAAGGGGACGTTTTCTCTTTAGCTGAAATTTATTTATTTATTTATTTATTTTAAGAGCTCACATATGATTGCAAAATGATTTTCACTCATGTTTTAGCAACTCTCAATTATGCCAATACTTTGGGCAGCCCCTAGTCTCTAGACACTATATATATACTCTTTTTTCTCTCTAACCATTATCCGTCAGTTATTCAAATTTGAGAAGGTATATATATACTTATCCATGCATTCTACCATGCACACCTAATTCATTTATATAATTACAAAAGAATTTTAAAATGGGTATTTTATTAAAATTGTATTTTTCGGAAGCGTAAGCACTTTTGACCACATTTCACACATTGGTCCTAATGCTATTTACTGGAATGGTCAAACGTCAATTGAGCACTAAAGACTAAAGAGTACCATATAAAAAAAGACGTTAGCATGAAAAGAAAACACAATAGTTACTTTGCTTTCTTGAAATGGATACAACAATGAGTCGGTGAACCACTGGTATAATTACTTTATTATTGTTACTTTTTTCTTTTTATATATTTTCGACTCCTTTATACACAGTACATAATGATGATTTTCAGGGCCTCAGACATCCCTCTCCTTTCCGTTCTCTCCCTCAAATCATGCACCACAAACTCAAATGGCCATTAATGTATCTTAAAAGCAGTGTTTTAAAACGTTTAATGCGTCGCGTTTTGATCTTTATACTGTATAGCGTAAATAGCGTTGCGTGTTGCGTAAGTTATTTGGGTATAAATTTTTTTAATAGAAATATTACAAATATATTTACATATAATAATTAATGATTGATTACAAAAATTATCACAATATTTGAATGACTTCAAAAGTAACATTTAAAGATTATTTCTCACAAATTTTAATGTAAATATCATAATATAATATTTAAATAATAAATCGAATATACTAAAAAGTAAAAACAAACAACGAAAATATAATGAGGCAAGTCATAGTATAATTTTAAATATATGTATTTTAATTATTATTTTTTTATTTAACTACAACTTAATTCTAACCATTAAATATAAACTTTTTATTCTTTATTTAAATGTCAAATATCGAAAAAAAAAATGATATAAAAAAAATAGACCGATAAATATTGCACTATTCAACTTAGAACTTTGCATTTTCAAACTTTTAATTTGAAATCATCATCAAAACTTTTAGTTTTTAGTTGTCATTGTAAATATGACTCTGATCCATAAAAAATACGAATTTTTGAATATTTTATTGTTCAAATGCCGTTGCAGAAATATAGCGGAATGTAGCGCACAATAGTGTAAAATAACGCAAAATAACGTAAGAAAGCGTGTCATTTCAACATTTCGCATAAGCTTTCGGGAAAAACGCTAAATATATAAGGCTACATCGCGTTTTTCCAAAAAAAAATATATAGCAAGCAATAGCGATCTACATAGCGAGCTATTTAAAACAATGCTCTTACGTAACTAGAAGAATGGATATATCTCACACGCCTTGTTAGTTTTACAGCTTTTTTAGCGCCACAATTATAATACTGCCTACTTTTAGCTTTGCTTTTTCATTAATTTGTGAAACCGAAAGGAAATGATTTAANAGAAAGAAATGGTACAAATGAATCAAGAGGGTTGCTTTTCAGGAAGAGTTATACTCCACAAACTGAGCAAGTCGTGAGTCATCTAAACTTCTTTCAAGGTCGAGCAATGGCTGAAGTACTCTCTCTACCTCATCACTTAGCAACTTGGCTTCATCAAGAACCATGGTCAAAGCACGCTTGCAAGATTCCTCATCCCGGAATGCGAGGGTCCATCTCCCATCAACTAAAGCTTTCGATCTTATTTTCGCACGGGCCGTGTAATTGGAGGTGTCGGAAAATGGGAGTGAGGAGGGCCGGATTCGGAGGTGTAGCCATCTTGAATGCTTATCATCTATTCTGGGCTGAATGGGGATAACAATAAGGTGGGTAAATGTTAGCATATTAGGAAGTGATCGAGCTTCGGAAAAAGGGCAGTATACACAGAACCACAATAGTAAGAGATAAGAGGACATTTGTATGATTCGCAGATTTTCTCAAGTTGTTGGGAGCAAAATAATCAAGATAAAAACTTACGTCAAACCACCTGACCATAAGTTTCTTTACAGACAGAGTACCAATTGAGTTTCCCAGTTCTTATCTAATTTTTAGGGCTGTAATTTTAGATTTTTTGGTTCCTATCAATTTTCACTAGCACGTATAAATTTTCAGAGGTTTATATATATATATATATAGTTTTTTTCTATTTTTATGGTTCATATATCAGCTATTTTTAATGTGATTGGAAGTATTTTTTTTCCTTTTTATTGGATTTATTGGATAAAGTGAGTTAATATTGAAAATGTTGATATTTGAGTGGGATTTTGAGTTTCTATTTAAATAATATTTAAAATGTAATTATTAAAGTTGATGTCATGTAAAAGTACGAAAAAAGATATTGGGAAACAATAGTTAGTTAAAATTATGTGAGTAGATGAACAGTGATTGATTGGTATCATTTAATTATATTGACAATATTTATGAGAGTTGAGTTGGATTAAATTTGAGTTGAATTTTGAGTTAAAATGTTACAAAAAATTATTCGGCCAGAAATAACCAGGTTATTTTTATAACCAATCGCAGCTTCCTTTCTGATGTTTTAATTTTGTCAGGTTTTATAGAGTGTTCCATCTTTTGATATATTTTAAACTCTTCTATTTTTCAAATTTCGTACGAAGTGTGCCTCAAATACCAAAAATTTGTGAAAGTTCGGTCAGGTAATCCACAACAAACCTAGTGATTCAACTTGCTTACTAATAGATAAGCGATAACCGTATCTACTAACCTAATGGAAATGAGCGACAAGCTATAAGCGAACCTACTAACCTAGTGGTAATCCACAACAAACCTAGCGTTTACTCTACATCCATGTGGAAATGATCGATTTAATCTGCAGCAAACCTACTAACCTAGCCTACTTCCTGGATAAGTAATAAGGAAACACTATTTTACTCCACTTCCATGTGGAACAGACGATTTAGGGGTGAGCGAGAAAAAAACTTTAACTCAAAGAAAAAAGAGATGAGAAGATTTAAAATGGACTCACATTACATCCAGCCAATGGTGCCAGAACTCGGACCAGTCCACGTTGAGGTTTCATAAGTAACTCCTCCGCAAGAACGAGCCACCCGGTGCTTCCAGTTGAGAGTGCCACAAACTGAAAATAACGTTCCTTTCCCCTCTCGAACGCAATCCGACAAGGCAATGCATCCACTGAAGGCATACAGAATAGAAAGTTGTGATCAAAACACTGAAGCTTGCCACAATTGGCATTTAATCGTAATCATATGAGGTGGGAAAATTCATCCAGAACACAACAAATATGAATGGACTTGCGAACTAAGTTCACCGGTTTATATTTTCTTATGCTTTCAGAAAATGTGTTTTCTCTTTACAAATTGATTCTGCCACCCCGATATCATTATGAAACCGAATTTGCAAGTTGCAACCTAGAATAAAATATAACTTGTGAATATTGAAACTACCAAGAGTGATCTCCGCATTCGGTTTTAGTCCTGGTGAACCAACTCCAGCATTCTTTGCCCTGGATTTTTCTGGAAGAACTATTGTGGAGAGTACAGGTGGTTGTTCCGGCAAAACTCTACCGAGGGAGAACATATGGAGATGATGAAGCAGTGCAAACACCTACGGGGAAGTAAATATGGTGATCTTAGAAAAAACAAAATTGTTAATAATGTTCGCATTCCAAGAATTGTAGCAGTAGTTATGCCAATTACTAAAGACCTAGATAGCATACAAGCAACTAAATTCACAGCCGCCAATTGCAGTTAATGACATTTTTTTTTTTCGGATTTTATTCCATAGGAGCTTCACTGACGAGAATGAAACGCAAATATATTCCCAGGATATTGATGAAAAAATCTAATGGACTGTGTAGGGGACAACCTTCACTGTCTCACACATTCTTTCTCCAGCAGCAATGGACGATTCATGGGAAGGAAGATCTGTAGCACCAGAATGAACTTATTAGATGTCTGCTTGTGTCTACAACTCAACAATATTCACAAAGAGCGCGCGCACACACGCACACACACATAGAGAGAAGAGAGAGAGAGAGAGAGAGAGAGAGAGAGAGAGAGGAGACGCAGACTCGATAGCTGCAGAAAGTGACAGTCATTCACCATAAGTCCCTAGTTAACCTATGTTGTTCTATTTTAAAATATATATATATATATATATATAGAGAGAGAGAGAGAGAGAGAGAAGGGATCATAAGTGGATAGTGAAAGAAATAAGAATGATTCTGCACCACTAGTTTGGTGAAACCAATGGTGATGATGAAGTCAAAATTAATAAACCATAGTCAAACATCGATGGCATTATCGTAAATAATTGAATAACAAATATAAACATTAGAACTCAGTCATTATACCCTAACAGTGGACCCCACCACTAACACATCTAATATCCCTACCCTCTCTCACACACAAACAGACACAAAACATACATACACACACAGAACACCTCACGACGCACACAAAAACTCAGCTGGCCCGCCGCCGTCAACCCGCGGCGCCGCCGCCAGACGTCAAAAGCGTCGCCGCCGCAGACACTAGTCCGCCACCATCTAAGTAGAGAACACTCTGATTCCGGCATCGTACGTGGCCTGTGTGGTCCATCTCGCCCGGCGGCTGTGTGGTCATCCTCGCCGGCAGCCTTTTATCGATACCCTGCCTCTGCATTGCCGTCATGGCGTCGCTGCCACCGTGCTTATCTTATCAACTGCCGACCCTGGTGCTCAGAACCGACAACGGGAAGAAGGTCGCCACCCCCGGCGACATTAACCGGCGAACCTTCATTGTCGTTTATCATTGTTTCTAAAGTCGCGTCGCCGCTACCGAGTCACTACCGCCATCGATCTCGTCCCCCGCACAAAGGCGGCGACGATCTGTGAAAAATTTATGGCCGATTAGCCTTTCTTTTTTATGTTTTTTAGCTCAAAGCAGTGTTGGCCAATTAAGACGGCAGAGGGTGAGCATAGTGGCGGTGACTGTACGTTGGGAGTGAGCTCCGACGGAACTGGGTGGAGATGGCCGGCTGAAATTTTGGTTTGGAATTGTGGGTTATATTTTGGAAATTTGACATGTTGTAGGGTTTGATTGCAAATTTTTGAAGTGTCATTTCAATTTATTACTTGAGGCAAATCTGTAATATAACAAAAATATAATTAATGCACAATATATTATGCTATTATAAATCTTTAAGTTTAATCTGCTGATTAACCGAAATAACAAAAAATAATCGAAATAAATTATATTATTTAATATAAATTAGTGTTTAATATTTAATATTATATATTACATTTTGATAAAAAATTAAATATATCATATAAACGGAATATATTGTGCAATATAAGAATTATTAAAGTGCAATACTTTCAACACTATGATGCAAGGTGACTGTCTGTATTGTGCAGCAGATTGAACCAACCGAACATTTTTGTCCCAAATCGAGTTGAAAATGAACATAATCATTTTTGTTAGTAATTTTATTTATTATTTTTACATTATTCGTGTTTGAAAAAAAAAATCGAGTTCGGTCGGTTTCGATCTATATTGTGCAATTTGATAATCGCGATAAAGCGCAACGTGTTGTTTTACAAAGTGCAATGCGTCGATCTATAATGTGCATTACTAATTTTTATAAGTATAAAAATAATAAAAATAATAATTGCACTGAAATATAAATGCACAATACTAATTATTTATATTTCACTAGAAAAATCATAGGTTATTTTTTATACAAAAAATATATAAAATAATATTTCTTAATATAGTTTGTTTTTTATTTTGGTTATTTAAATAAAAAATGACATTTTACCGGACTAATTAATATATAAAAAATAATAACAAACTGAAATTAATATATAAAAAATAATAACAAACTGAAATATAAATGCACAATACTAATTTTTTGTATTTCAGTAGAAAAAATCATAGCTTAATTTTTTGTATTGGTTCAACATCGGCTGAGGTGGTTCGGAAATGTCCAACGGAGGCCTCCTGATGCACCGGTGCGTAGGAAAGTTCTACAGCGGGTCGAGGATGTTAAGAGAGGTAGAGGTCGACCTAAACTCACTTGGGAAGAGTCGGTTAAGAGAGACCTTTAAGATTGAAATATCTCCAAGGATTTAGCGGTGGATAGGAGCGCTTGGAGGCTCGCTATCAACGTGCCAGAACCGTGACTTTTGCTCCTTTCTCTCTCTCTCTCGTTTTTTTTTTCGGTTTGAGTCTTTTTGTGTTTCTCTTGGGTTTCATCTCTAGCCTACCCCGACTTGCTTGGGACTAAAGGCTATGTTGTTGTTGTTGTTGTTGTTGTGTTTTTTATGTTGATTATTTAAATAAAAAATGACATTTTACCAGATTAATTAATATATAAAAAATAATAACAATCGAATCAACATAAAAATAATTGTACCGAATTCATATTCAATTATTTTATTTATTTAAAAAGACTACATCCGATAATTAACCAACTAATATTATTCGATTGATTATCAATGTTGCTGACTTTTTAGTATGTGCATCGTGTCATTTTATATGGTGCAACACGTTGTGTTATAATGTTCAATATATTACTGTATAAAGTGCAATATATTGAATTAGTACATTAGCATGCTTTTTTTGTAGATAGATAATGTGATAAAGTGCAACATATTATTCTATAAAGTGCATCATTGATAGTTTATAAAGTGCGGCATTGCTATATATAAAGTGCACTAGCTGATTTATGCCCTCCCAGATAAATTACGTGTATAATTGTACATTAAATTAACCTAAATAATTAAAATAGTTCTTTATTTATTATTGTTATTGTATAATTTATTTTTTATTACAAATTATTATATTATTTTTATTTAATAATTTGCTTACTATTACAAAATAATATATTATTTTAATGTTTTATATTATTTTATTATATATATACTTTATTTATTAATGTGCATTCCGTATAATATTACTGCAACACGCGTAATTTTAAAGTGTGTATCCGTACACAATATTGTGCAATTTAATCAACAAAATTGTGCACTTATTATATTTTTGTGATAAATTACAGATTTTAGCATTAATTAAATGACATCTTATTTAACTTTTGTAAAAATTGCAAACAAGTCCATCAAATATACCTAATTCTCATTGAGAAAACCCTAGACCCAAATTAATGTTGCAACAGTTTCAACTTTCAAGAAGTGGGAGATGAAGGAGTACGTGTGTGTCAGCAGACGATGGCCGGTGGCGGATCCATTGCGGTGGTCGGGCTTCGGCTATCCGAACAGTCCCCGATGGCGGTGGTTCTGCAGCTTGTCCGAAGGGTAGTGGAGGTCGCCAGCGAGAAGAGTGGAGGTTGCGGAAGAACAGAGGCAACGTGTGTGTGTGGTGCGTGTATCAGTTCTATGTGTGTGAGAGAGAGAGAAGGGGATGGTTGGGGTGAGATGAGGTGGGTTGGGGTTGACCGATTGAATGAGCAGATGGTAGGTTAATTAAATGTGTATTGGGACCCACAATTTTTGGTGATGAATAGAAATTTACCACATTACCCTTAATGAAGGTATAATTTTGAGATCCATTAGATCAAATCGATCTGATGGTTACGATTTATTCTTATTTCTTTCATTGGAAACTCATTGGAGCGCGACCCTATATATGTAATATAAAAGGACAAAAAAAAGTCGCATACCTCTTTTACACTTTCTCCACTCATCACAAATAACTGTTACCAACAAATCAGACCAAGGACCTTGCGTCTCCTCCAGAACACGATTCGTACAACGGTGAAATGATTCCTAAACATAAAGATCAAGAGAACAGCTTTTCAATGAACAGTACTTTCTATCAACAACATAGCTAAAATGTGCAACTAAGTGCCAGTATTATAAAATATACAGAAAAAGGTTAAAAACAGTAAACAAGTAACTTGTCCACACTTCATATGGTTAGTGAACTTTCCTCTAAGACTCCAACATGGTCATCAGGGGGAAAAACAGAATAATCATATTTGGAATGAAAAATTCCAAGGAGTGGAGACACTATAGGATATAAATAAAACCGGTTATGATTGGATTTGATTGGTTAAAGTGAGTTATTTTGAATAAAGTAGATGGAGTGGGAGTTTGAGTTTGTAGTTAAATAATATTTAAAAGGTAATGATTGAAGTTGATGTGATGTAAAAGTAGGAGAAATGTTGTTGAGAATGATAGGTAGTTAAAAATATGTGAGAAGATGAATAGTGAATTAAAGTTGATATGATGTGTGAGGATGATTGATTGATGTTATTTCATTATAGTGATAAATAATATTGAGGAGAGTTGAGTTTGATTAAAACTGAGTTTGATTTTGAGTTAAAAGATGTAAAACAAGTTATTTGGTACGTTAAAACCAATTATAATCTGTAGCCAATCGCCCCCCAAAGGTCTCTCAAAGGATCTGTTCAGTTTACAGAGTCAAGCACTAACATACATCAGATGCGAGCTACTTTAAAGAACTCGTCTTTATCATAACAAATACCTTGATCCATCTAGAAAGAACTTACTTTGAGTAAACTACGATGATGGCTGTTAAACTCAGCCTCACTGTAAGGCAACAACTGACGTAAAAGCCAACCGCCATCCCATAATGTTTCTGCAGAAATATTTGACCTGCAAAAGAGACTGACCAAAGCATCGAGCACCTAACAAACAGAATACGAGGTCAAGGGAGGAACAGGCCATGAGAAAACCAAACAAATAATGTGGGATCATTGCTTGCATAACTAATGCCAAGTTTGAAAAGCCTATCTAACAAGTTAAAGCCTCTACTGTTTTTGAAAAGCCTCTGCCATGGTTGACAAGTCTGTTCCGACTCATTTCAAACTAATGCCATAATTAATATGATAATCTCACATAAAAAGTAATTTACCTTGCTAATATTGGAATTAGCATGGCCAAATCAAATATAGTGGAAAACAAAATCCACTGTGAAGCAAGAGAATGAGTGATTTGCCACGTGTTTACTAGATTTACATCCTCAATAATTCGTCCAGTGAATTACAAGTACCAAAAACCAAAAAAGACTTCCATAATAAAGCTTCTCATATAGGAAATGCCACATATAAAAGATAAAATGAAGAGATGGTTACAACTTTCCTTATGCAAAGTTTTAAACATAAGCTTTTGAGTATCTGCTGCAGTCAAAAGAATTAATCATGTTCTAAAGCCATGTTCATAAATGCAACAAACTTTGAAAATAAATGGGTTACAGGGAATTTGCTATGGACATTTGGAAATTTAAAAAACAGACGAACCCACTCAACAAAGATTTAAAATTAGAAACAAAAAATAACAATGAGAACATATTAAATTGGCTTCCATGAAAGAACTTCTGTTTGAATTGTTAACTAAATTTTCTTACAAAAAATGTTCATAATTAAGACTAATTAGTTATTGCACATTATATTTTATCACTTTAACTGTCTAGTTCCCAAGACATAGAAAATCCAGGTAATAAAAGAAAAGGTTACACACCTGGAAAGAAAAAAAAATCAGGATTTCAGACCATAAATCAGTTTGAGTTTTCAGGATACTAGGGGTAAAATGAGGATGAGCTGCTTCCAACGAATATTCCATTCAGCAACTTAATAAGTTTTAATGGAACACATCAAGTTTAGATCTTATGTTATTATTTTAATGATTATTATCATCATACTGGCCTCAAAGTTATATGCACATGAAAAGGCATGAGTCCACCCCGTACAGAGCACTGGACCAGGTAACATGGTTCGATGAATACCAAAACAAATAATAAATAAATAATATGCTAGCTTTAAGAATAGATTTTTACTTGAAATCTGTGCACGCGAGGACTCACTCCGACCTCCAGGCTGGAACAGGAAACTCCAACATAATCCTGTTGATTGACATTCAGTAACATGAGTCTTATCACTTCTTTTTTGTTCCTGTCACTGTCTTGAACTCTAATTAGCAGTAGAGAGAACATCCAAATAAAACTGATCTTCTGCCTTGCAATCAACTATAGAAAATAACTACAACACTTGATTTCATGGCCTGGTGAATCATTTCACCAGCAACTTCAATATTTCATATTTTATTTATTTGTTTAGCTTGCTTATATCTCATTACAACACAAAATAGAATTAATACAGTAGCTGGGGAACAGTGCAGTTGTACCCCATTTTGATTCAATGGGAAAACAATTTCAGCATGTATGTACTATGTATGCCCTTATGCATAGGTACTGTAACTAGGAAAAGGAAGGGACAAGGCAACATGGGTCGGTAAGGGAGCTTCGGGTGCTCAGCTCAGTTGGGAGATAGAATAGCCAGCCAAATTAGCAGAGCGACATTGGTGAGGTTGCCACATGGGTCAGAGAAGATCATTCTACAAGAAATCCCCTAAATTCTAATTTCATGTGATACGTAAATGAAATTTTGCAAGAGAATAATTTACAGTTCGTGTTGAAAATTAGGCTGAAATTGCGGTGTTTAAATATTATAGAGTCCTTTTGCCAAGTAAGATGCAGATGCCGAAATATAAATACCTTCAATTTTCTTAGATAGATATCAAGGTCACTACTGATGCCATCTTTAACCCCACTACTTCCAGAAGAGAAAAGTTGTTCTTCCCCAGAATCTTCCCCAACCAAGGCTTGCTTCAGTACACAACAAGAAAGGTATTCAAGTAAACATCAGAAAATAAAGCATCATATACAGTTGCTCTCCCAGTAAAGAAACCTCTAGCTATATTAACAGCATTAACACTGAGAAAATATCACAGATGGTAACATCACCGACAGTGTAATGATCACTAGAACTACTAGAACTTCACCATCTCACACAGCTAGCGAAATTGGATAGCAAGGGCGGAAACTCGGATGAAGTAAAACATAAGTTCCAGAGTTACAGCTATCAGAGCATAAATCAAAAACTTCAGTTACCATAACCTTTTGCATTTTGTCATTGAAATGATAAACAAGATTTTCATTGTCAATGGAAGCAATGCAGAAGGCATGAAGGATCACATCCAGAAAATCGGGCAAAAGAAATGTTCGGTTCCAACTTCCAAGTTACATTTGGTAGAAGTGAAGCAAAAACCTAGTTATTCTCGTCTTTCCAACAATTAAGCACCAGGGGATGAAAAAATTGAGACTGCCATACAATTATTGATTCTATCTAAAACATATAGAAAACTAACAGAGAAGTCAAACCACCCGCTTCCATACCTATTGAATCCAACTTAAAAAGAAATATGCAACCTACTTCTCCTCCTTTTTCCTGCATTTAATGTTTCAAATAAAAGAACTGCACCTATCTTGCCAGTTTGTCCAAGACTTTAAGATTCAACCTAATAACTACATACCAGCAACTTCTTCTTATGCTGTTTGCGTTGAGGAAGTATGCCAAGGGCATCAACAATCGATTCATCCAGTTCTGTGAATACATAGATAAGTTAGTGCAAGGCATACACGCATCAGCTAACGAGCAAGTTCAGGTGACCTAATGACCTTTGGTCTGCAATAGAGTAGCTAGGACATTTAAAGAGCCTGAAACCTGAACATCATCTCCCCTGGTAATAAACGAAAGCAAACATTCCCTGCATATTGTGGAAAAACAGAAGCCATTTAACTCTTAACAATAGTGTAAAAACACTTGCACGTTGTCTGCTCGACACATAGGCTAAGAAATAAAAAGATTGTACATACTCACAAAATTATGCAGGCCTTTTCTGGCCACACACACACACACAGAGAGAGAGAGAGAGAGATGATGAAGAGGAAAAAGAGAAACACTATGATGACAATTAGACGAAGAAGTCCGCATGGCATGTGGAATAATACAACTTGAGTAAAGAAGCATCCAAGAAACTAAATTTGGGAAAAACTGCAAACACAATTGAGTGGCTCGCGCCAAAGCTCGACTCGAGATGGAGTTATACACAGCTTGACTCGAGCTGCAGTTTCGCAGAGCTCAAATCGAGCTCAAGCACATCAAATCCGAGCTCGAGCCTGTAGTTTTTAAGCTCGAAGGCTCGATGAGCCACTTGAGTACATACATAATTTACCAGAAAAAACCTAACTCGAGCAAAATTAATTTCAAACATTTTTTACTGAAAATTCTAACCGAACTTCAGCAGATTTTGAACCTCTACAATTCGAGCCGGTTCTGATCGATCTCGAGCGTGTTCTTTTGTCGACCAGTGCCAAGCCTTGCCTTAAAAAGCTTGGCTTGTCGGGCTTAAGCAGCAGGCAAGAAAAACAAACCTAGCTCGATAAGGCCAAAGCTCGACTCGGTTCGGCTTGTAGCCCTAGGAAAGACCCGAGTCACATGAACTGGGAAACTTATAATCCTCTCACAAAATTGAGATAGAAGTATGAACAAGTGGAGGAAGGTGGGTAATCAGTTATTCTATTTTCATGTGTGGAATTCTAGCCTTAAGACTTTAAGTATCTTTACATAAAGACATGAGCATTTAAACTTGACAGCTGAAACTTAACCAGGCACAGAAGGAAATGGATGTTCGTGGCACTAAACAGTTGTTAAATTGCTCAACAATACATATCTATGTATATATATAAATATATACCTGGGTGCCAATTGTGTACCACCACAATCATGACCCAAAACAACACCTGGTGGATGGTTATGGGAAGGATTAGAAGTTGGTACAGTAACATGCAAACTTCCAGCAAGAGACTCTGAAATGTGGTTATTCTCAGCTGTATTTTCATCTGCTGCATCTAAATAACCATTGGGCTTAGCTTCAAAATTCCCACAGAATGTCTCTGAACAACACAGCAGAGCAGCAGCAACAATGTTTGCCAGATCTTTGATTTTGAGTATGCGCAAAATGCAACAAAGTAAATATAAAGAAGTGACAGCATCAAGACTTGGTTCCTGAATGTTAAAACCCAGATAGTTACAAAAACCATGTCCGTAAAACCATAATCAGTAATACCAATTACAAAAGGTTAATAAAACATTGAAGATACAAAATAAAGGAAAGAAACAGCACATGGGTATCCATACCTTAACTACTTCATCCCCCAAGGAAGGAAGAATCAATGGAAATATCAGAAGCCTCAAAACATTGTCCATGATTAACCTCCCTATGTCAGGAATTCCAGCAGAAACGACATCACTAAAATAATAGAGATTGTCTTCTATCTCATCAACAGCAGAAAGAATGGAAGACGACTCCATGCTCAGATTTCTGTCCGACCATGACTATTCTTGTCAGGATAATATTAGTAAGAAAACTTCAATGCAAGGAAATACAAATATTTCACTTCTTACTTTGAAGCACTTGAAATCACTAAGTTCAAATGGATGCACTGATCTCGGAAAAAATTGACCAGATTCAAAAAATAATTTGCATGAGGAGCCCCTGATACAAACTTATTTACAGCATCATCTCCAACTGCAAATCAGTGAAAGATATGAAATTCATGCAGTAATGTGCATCACCCTGTCAAATGTGGAGCAGGAAATACACACACACACACACAAACACACTCACACACCAACACACGCACACATATAAGGGGGGAAAAAAAAAAACTCACCATGGTAAACATTCAAGGTTAAAGCACGTACAGCAGTTCGAATCATACTTTCTTCATGGAAAGCAAACCGTATTGCCTCAACATAAAGGGGGAAAGAAACTAATTCATCCTAAATGGGAACAGAAGAAACATGATATAAAACTAAATTACTAAAATGAGAGGACACAATAATATTAACAACAAGGTCGAAATAAAAGCCTAAATAAACTTACATTTTCTGTCTTCACAAGGAGAGAAATTGTATCCTTGTTCAACTTCCCACTTATTGCCCTTTTCACCAGAACGAGTAAATAACCCAAGTAAGACAACATTCCAAGAAATTATGCATAGTATATTATAAAATTATCTGAAATACAGAGCGAACCTCAGAAAAGATATGTAGTAAGATAACAGCTCTTCATTTCGGAAGTCAAACGGATAAGTTATTAGGTCATTAACATGTTCATTGCTAAACATATAATCTGCAAATATGTATAGAAAAACATCTCAGAAAAAATTAAAAAATGGTGGACAGATTCACAAATGTTATGCTGCTCAAAGTAGGATTTAACTTACATATGGAATGTTCACTTTTCAGGTTCTGAATCATTATGCTCATTGTCTGCAATAGCTGGAGTGAAACAATCAAATTTCTACTAATTCTTAATATGCGTACGAATTCTCCCATGACCTGCTTCTCCATGAAGAACCTAGAAGGAACCAAAATGATTGCAGTTACATAAGTTAAAAAGGGATGTGTGCACTAGAAGAATATATGAGCATATCAAACTCTGAGTAATGGTGTCGCACTCGAAGTAGGCAGTATCATGTTGGTCACCATAAGTTATCAACTCCGAAATAGATCTCAAAGCCTCGATGACAAAATTCTGCAAAATATAAGAGGTGCAGTTGGGGCATCATAATTCAAAGAAGCATAATCCACAACATGCGGCAATTTAATCCAGCAATGAGCTACCTTGTTAACCTCATTCACAATCTGAACTCTCATGAGTTGTTCAACTAGGAATCTGGAAAGGAGAAAGAACGAATACATAGATCATAAAGGCTAAATTTTTCCAGAGCCAAAAATATCATGGCATTTGAGAATATACAGAGTAGCATGATAGCATCAACAAGGATCAAGAAAATGACACAGA